CTGTCTTTGACAAAGCCTTCATTATGAAGGATGGATTTGAATTCATAGAGCATGAAAACAAGTGAAGAAACCAAGAGATCCAGAAAGAAAAAAGGTAAATATTTAGTGGGAACCGAAATTGAAAGTTGGCTAAGAATGGACTCATTGACAAGAGAGATGGATATACAATTCCTACACTTCTCTTCTTCCTGTGAAGTGAATGTTTGCTACTTGTTTAGGAGAACTGTAAGTGACAAGCTCTCTATTGAGTCACAGGATTGTTATCATTTTTTGTTATTAAAATCAATGTTATGTCTAATTTGGGGAGGATTATAATTTATATGCTAATGTGCAATTGAACTTGTACTGGTATCATTCTCACTTAAATGGTTATTTTAAAAAGGAGACCTTACCAGTATTTTAAAGACTGCGTCTACAATGCCTTGAAACTTTCACATGCTGTAATTAAATGTTCACTGTCTTAGGTATCTAATCTTAAGTTTATACATAATAGGAAATACTATAATTTTTGCCATAAGTCATTACAATGAGCTATGTCTTCAATTGTTTTATCTAAGTCTTTCAGTTGTCTAAACTGAATTTTTGAATCAAATTAAATTAACCATAACAAATTCCATCGATTTTATAATCTCGATATTGAATTGAGAAAATGATTAGCTATGTCATTGCTTGTTCCTTATATTGAGGCATAATTTTTATTCAAGATGAGTACTCCTGTTTAAATTACAGGAAGACAGTTCTTTCAAAGGCACTTAGTTGACCTTTCACTGCTAGCATCCGATGAGATTTAGTAAGTATTTACTGCTGCATGGCAACGTTCTGGTTGTTACATGGGGAAAGGCATTCAGAATGGTCTGGAAATAACATTTTGAATTTAGTTCTCATATATTTTGGAATGCGACTGATTTTTACTTTGTGTCTTTTGAAGTAAGTGCTTCCAGATAAACAGTTAACTTAGTGCTGTGGCAACATACTGATTGACTGGCATCCTTAATTAGCTGGAATTTCTTTTGGGACTATATTTAGTATAGAAGAGAAAGGGAAAAATAGCAAGCCAAATAAAAAGCCAATATCAATTATCTTTCTTTAATTTCCAGGGAAAGATCAAAGTCACATAGACTTAGCTGAACGTGTTGTATTTCCTGCATTTGCAGTGTCAATGATGATAACTGCTCTTAAAAGGGTGACTGATTCAAACCCCCTCCACAAGAGATACTACAATATCCTATGTCAAAGAAAGATTTTGTTATTTCAGTAATTGATTTTCAGAGTTAATGAGTGTGTCACTGAAGAGGAATAGTTTGGGATTTTTACTGCAAAGGAGATATCACCAGTTAGGGACCCAGCAGGAAACAGCTAGCACAGTCAAGCTGACAACCTTGCCTACTTTCAAAGATACGGGTAGGGTTTAGGGAAATTAGGAAAGGTAATTTATTGCCCCTGCCCATTAACAGTGGAGGGTCAGGGGAATCAGGCTACCATCCCTAGGCCTAAAGAACTAAGGGGAAGGAGCAGTTAAACAAAGAGATAGTGCCTTCATTTCCCAAATCTCATGGGAAGCCACAGCAATTCACAGGATGAGCTTCTTGAGGTTGAGAGCAGGGAAGAGAAGTGGGCACAGTGGATCTGGAGGGAAAACAGAAGAACTATAGCACAAGAGAAGAGAACATGAAAAATCAATACAATCCATCATGGTTGGACTATAGCAAGCCAAGCTCAATTGCAGCTCTGGGTCCTGACTGGAGGAAAGAAGAAAGCTCACATTTATTGAGTGTTCTTTCCATTACTCATGGTATATAACAAACCACCCCTAAATTAGTATAGTAAAACACCCACCCCTTTATTATGCCACAGATCCTGTGGGTCAGAAATTGAGACAGGACACGCTGGGTATGCTGTGCCTCTGTTCCACTATGTTTGACACCTTGGCTAGGAAGACTTAAATGCCTGGGGGCTTGAACCATCTGAATGCTCTTTTATTCATGTGACTGGCACCTGAGCCAGTTGATCCAAGGGCTAGATTCATCTGGGACTGACTGTCGACCTACATGTGGCCATTCCAAGGGCGCTGAGTTTCCCCAATGTGGTAGCTGGAGTGTCCTGAGAGTGAGACACAGATGCAGCGGATGAAATTGCTTGGCCTTTTCTAATCTGGCCTCTGAAGTCACACAGCATCACTTCCGCATTTAGTTCAAGGCCAGAGGAATTAGACTCAGTGTCTCAGCGAGGGATGACAAGGTCATGTTGTAGAAGAGCATGCTGAACGGGAGAATATTATTGCAGCCACCTTTGGAAAATATGAGCTGCCACGTGCGCACTCACGAAGGCAATATGAACTAGTATCATTTTGAAACATTCTGACAATCGTTGCAACAAACCATTTTCTAGGTTAACCATAAAATTATATTAACCAGATCCTTTCATTATCCAAGGTTTCCAATGATTAAACTTTGTCTTCCCTTTATGGAGCATCACTTTTAAAATGTAAGAGATACTTCCAGGATAAACTAGCTGAGCTTCCTGCCCTCCAACAGCGTGAATATCACTGTTCTCATTTTCCCACAGACTAAACCCAGTGTTGTGTAGAAGGGAAAGTAGGGACTAGAACTCAGGACCCTTGGATTCTATTTACTTTCTTTTTTTTATCATTTAACCAGAAATAGATAAGAAATGAATCAATAAATTAAATTTTACCAAATGAACACACAAGCATCAGATGAGAAAGAAGCACTTGGCCAGGTATTGCTATCCTGTAACGTCAGGGAAGTCGACCTACTGGGTTGGGGCCCTCATTGGAAGATTGGGCTTAGCTTGGTACTTGGCACATACAAGGGCTGTCGTATATAAGAATGCAGTTGCCGAGAGAAGAGTAATGGTCACCAGGACCATTAATGTCAGTGGAGAAACTCTGACACATAGTTATCCCTTTTCCTTTTGCTCTTGATGACATTTGCCTGGCCTATCCGTTCATCTCCCAGCTGGTGCAGTGGATTGACCTATGCAATGTTACGAACTTTCCGAAGGGGATTTTATGTAAGGTTTTGTGCCATTCTGGAGACAGGAACACTAAGCACACTTATCTTTGCTATTCATGCACAGATACAAGCCTTTGGGGAATGTTTCCAACCTGTTACAGTCATCTGACAGTCCTTTTCATGTTTTGACATCAAGAATTTGCCAAACCACCCAAGCTTTAATGAAACTTCTAAGCAGCTAAACTTCTTTTTTCCCCACTCTCCAATGGCAGATGCATGTTAGCTTCTCTGATGTCAACGATCCAACTCTCTATTCCACTGACATCTGTTAGTTGAGAAAGCCTGAGTGGTTGAAGGTTTACTTTCCTATTGAAAACACAATTTTCTCAAAAAAAAAAAAGTTCTTTTTTAAAGGATTTACTTACTGTTTTGCAACTCCCTCTGACACCTTTTTAAGTGACAAGATGCCATCTGGCATCAGGGGGATTTGGCTGAAGCGAGTCCATGCTGAGGGAGCGCGAGGTGGTGGGTGGTAGGACAGCAGGCTCCAGGTCAGTCCTGCCAGCTGTGTGGCTGTGGGAAAGCCCCTCAGTGTCCTCGGCGGTAAAGTGAAGAGGTGATCAGCTCACTGGATTGCTCAGGGCCTTTCCAGTTCTGGAGTTCTGTACACCAATGAGCCCACACAAGGTCTAGACATCCTGAGAGCTCAGGGTGCCAGCCTTTGTACAGATTGCTCTGCCTTTCAGGGATCTTACTTAGTCTTTAGTATTCTCACCCAATATTTCACATGTCACATTGAAGCACTAGCCCGTACAAGGGAGATGCTGAGTTACTTCTTCACTGCGCCTTCACTTCAGTCCATGACAGTCTGGCCTTTCCTCTACGTTCCCTTGCTAATGATGTCCTAGTTATCAAAGTCAGTGGTCCTTTCCCTTTCTCAACCTTTGTGACTTCACTGTGCCTCAGTTTCTTCACCTGTCAGATAATGATAATGATGGTGCTGAACTCATTGGGTTGTTGAGAGGTTTGGGTTATTATACATCATAATAGATAACAGGTAATATATTAATGATATAAATACACATAGTTTAGAACAATGCCTGGGACAAGGCGTCATTTGCCTATAGACTCTGTGTGAGTCCCTTACTGGCACTAACTATCTGGTCTCTGAAGGCAGCAGGATTATCAATCCTTGCTATGAAATCCCTGTATTTTAAAAAACATAACATCTCAAACTTCACAACATTATTTTAAATTGTATTTCAGCCTCTAAGAGTTTACCGACCTCAACTAATATAAAGATACCTGTCTCTTCTATCCTTTAATTAAGCTAATAATGTAGCAATTGCCTCGTAACACCTGTTGATGACATCTACTTTCATTATTAGTAGCAGTAGTATTTTGGAGATGGAGTCTCGCTCTGTCACCCAGGCTGGAGTGCAGTGGCACGATCTCAGCTCACTGCACCGTTCGCCTCCTGGGTTCAACCGATTCTCCTGCCTTAGCCTCCCAAGTAGCTGAGATGACAGGAGCCCACCACCATGGTTGGCTAATTTTTGTATTTTTAGTTGAGACAGGATTTCACCATGTTGGCCAGGCTGGTCTCGAACTCCTGACCTCAGGTGATCCACCTGCCTCTGCCTCCCAAAGTGCTGGGATTACAGGTGTGAGCCACTGCGCCCAGCCTACTTTCATTATTTAAATCTCGTTTGTTTTCCATCTGGCATGTGTGTGTTAGTGTCGTCTCCACGCCTGGAATGTAATCTGTGGAACAGACTTTACCTCCTACCTCTATGACCTGCAGTTTTTCCTAGGCAAGCTCTCCTCCTCCCCTTGCCAGTTGCAGCATGAGGGTGAATCACAAGAGGTTCCCATTCTTCATCCCTTCTTTAAAAACCAAGTAACTTTTGAACAACTTTCCCATCAGCCGTCAGCATGATCGTTGACATGGTCAGGCACCTCACCTGACCATGAGCATGTGGGCTCAGGATTCAATACATGTGAATCTTTCTGTCCGACCCCCAGGTATCCGCCGCCAGACTGCCCATTGCATAAAGAAGGGCCGTGGGATGGTGAAAGCTACATTCTGTGACCCGGAAACACAGCCCAATGGGAGACAGAAGAAGTGCCATGAAAAGGCTTGTCCACCCAGGTAACCATCGCTAACAGCTGGAGCTCTGTGTGTCTGCCTACAGTGATGTCTGACTCAAGAGTGACCCAATGCTTGCTGATAAATAATGTGTGGCTTTGTTACTTGGATAAACACAAAAACGCTGTTAGAAGTTTCTGTGGCTATGCTGTTGGAGCCTGTGGCAAGCTGTGAGGACATATTCTCCCAAGAGCAGTATTTTCACAAGGTGATGTGTTCTGTGTTTAATTATTTGGCAAGACTAAGTGCCAAAGCATTGGTGAAGAGAATGCTAAGTGGATCACGCAAAAGTAGTTTCACTAATAGAGTTGTCTTTTCCAAGGACTTTACCAGTGCAACTCCAGCCTTCAGACGAAAGTTTGGCACCTTCTAATCACAGTGCCCACTTGTACTTCAGGCTGCCCAGAAGACGGGGCTCAGAGAGCAGGTTTTCCCAACCTCGACGTTACTGACATGTGGGGCTAGCTGACTCTTTGTGTGGGGGGCTGCCTTGTGAATTGCAGGAGGCTTAGCAGCATTACTGGCCTGTGTTTACTTAGATGCTGGTAGAACTCCCTCCCTCCCAATCCAGGCTATGACAACTAAAAATGTCTGCAGACATTGACAGATATCCACTACAGGGTAAAATCATCCTCAGTTGACAGTCACTGTTATAGAGATATTCAGCAATATTCAGGGTATTGTTAACCACATTGGTTCAAGAGATTGGGATCCTAGAAGGTAGTTGGGATGTTATTATGCCAGGCTTATGTTTAAAGAGAGAGAGAGAGAAAAGAAAGGAAAAAGAAAAAGGAGGAAGAAGGAGAAGAAGAAAAGAAGGAGGGAAAGAGGGAGAGGAAAGAGGAAGAAAGGAAGGAATATTGGTTGATTTCCAGGAAGTATCTTCATTCTCTGGCGACCTTAAACAGGGATGTATTTATGTTGCAGAGTCCAGCAAGCGTTCATCCCAGTTCTACGCAGACATACTATGAGGCATTTAAACAATGGGGAGACTCACTGGTATCATAAATCAAACAGGTGACAGGGCGGATTCTAAAGAAGAGCTAGAATGTGACAAATATCCAAGAACTAGGTTAGAAAGAAGAGTCAAGACAAGACTCTTGTCCTGAAAAAACCGATGTCAGTCTCTTAGCGGTCCAAACTGGCAGGACCCAGAGGCCAGGGTATTCTCAACTCAGAGAGAGGTTTATTTTCTCTTCTGTTCTGTGGCTTTTTCTAGGTAGGAGCTGGACCCCACCACTATTGAAGCAGGATAGCAATGTGTCATCGCCTCGCCTTGCTCTAACTCCTTCCTGTGGCTCTTTTGCCAGGAAGAACTAGAAATGACAAGGGAAGATAAGGCTAGCACTAGGTTTTATATGAAATTGCAGTTATGTTACTTTCTCAAGGAAGAATGAGCCAGGAAAGAGAGCCTTTCTTAGAGCTAGTCCATCGCCTACTACTCCACAGAATTCATGAATTGTGAGATTTTTGACTCCTGAGAATGTTAATTAGCATAATATAATACTTACAGGTTCAATTTCTGAAAATGCGCTCTCAAGTAGGATATGATAAGCTAAGTAGAATTCTATGAAACATTCAGATATAATGGTTGTATTAGTCCTTTCTCACACTGCTAATAAAGACATACCCGAGACTGGATAATTTGCAAAGAAAAAGAGGTTTCATGGACTCACAGTACTAAGTGGCTGGGGAGGCCTCACAATCATGGCAGAAGGCGAGAAGCCTATCTTACATGGCTACAGACAAGACAGAACGAGAGCTAAGTGAAAGGGGTTTGCCCTAATAAAGCCAACAAATCTTGTGAGACTTATTCAGTAGCACGAGAACAGTATGGGGCAATGTGCCCCCGTGATTCAATTATCTCCCACCGGGTCCCTCCCACAACGTGTGGGAATTATGGGAGCTACAATACAAGCTGAGATTTGGGTGGGGACACAGCCAAACCATATCAATGGCCAGTTTACAAAAGTCCTTTTTATTTACGACTGCATTTTAGCTTCTACAGATATTTATGAAATAGTCATAAGACAGGGTATGGGTATTACTCTGAGGTGCTATATGAGGAGATAAAGGTTCAGAGAAATTTGATGCCATACCCTAGGGGAAATGGCTGCAGAGAAAACTAGCACTTCTTTTTTTACATTTTACTTTAAGTTCTGGGATACATGTGCAGAACGTGCAGGTTTGTTCCATAGATGTACATGTGCCATGGTGGTTTGCTGCATCTAGGTTTTAAGCCCCACATGCATTAGGTATTTGTCCTAATGCTCTCCCTCCCCTTGCCCCCCAACCTCCTACAGGCCCCAGTGTGTGATGTTCCCATCCCTGTGTCCATGTGTTGTTGTTCAACTCTCACTTATGAGTGAGAACATGAAGTGTTTGGTTTTCTGTTCCTGTATTAAAAACTAGTACTTTTTAAGAACCCACTATTTTTCAAGCTGTTTCCACACAACCATATCATTTAAACATGTAAGCAACCCTAATTCTTAGATACATTTATGCTTATTATACAAATGAAGACTCTAAAGCCTTCACAAAAATTTTCCTCGGTCACTTAGCTACAAGTTTTCGAGTCGGGATTTGAACCCAGATCTGTCTGCTCTGCTGCCTCTGTATGTGCTGCTACACCATGCTGCTGCCTAGGATCTCAGGATAAGCCGGTTTCAGTGCTAGAACCAGAATCCCCTACATTTAAACTATTTGTCTCACATTAAAACACAATAAAAATGTTATGAATGCGCAGAAAAGGCTGACTCCAAAACTAAGTCATGCCTCCAGGTCCAAGCGATTCTCCTGCCCCAGCCTTCTGAGTAGCTGGGATTACAGGCGCATGCCACCACATCTGGCTAATTTTTGTATTTTTAGTAGAGATTGGGTTTCACCATGTTGGCCACACTGGTCTCAAACTCCTGACCTCAAGTGATCCACCCGCCTTAGCCTCTGCAAGTGCTGGGATTGCAGGCATGAGCCCACGTGCCTGGCGATTTGCTTTTTTAAGAACAAATAATAAACTAATATTATTTGTTTTTGCAAACTTAGTTCACTAGTTTCCTTGTATATGAGTTTCAAGCTGCAATATCTTCTTCTGTCACCTAATTTCCATGATCTCTGAAAAGTTCATACCCATCACTGAGACCTGTCATTTCTTTTCCCACAAAATTTCCTGTGCAAGGTTTAATCTTATTTATTTCTTCAGTAAATCTTCAGTAAATAAGAAATTTCTTCAGTAAATAAGAAAAAATCTTATTTTTTCTTCAGTAATATCTTGTTTTTACAGCCAATTTCAACATTCTGTGTTCTTCCCCAAAGGAGTATTTGAGACAGATTTTTTTAAGATTTAATAAAAACTTTTGATTAAACATAAAAAAAATGTATTACATAGCCAATGGCTTTCAGGATGAAAGCCTTATAGAGCATGTTCCAGGAGAGAGAAGGCTGTCAAGAAAGAAATTCTTTGAAATTTTAATATATCTGATTCCAGAAAGAGGTTATTTGAGTCCCTTCTCCCTACTGACTTCTCTCTGAACTTTGGTTTTCAGAAAAGCAAAACTCTGCTAGGTCACAGCTGTGGTGGTGCCTAGCATATCCGAAGTACTCAATAAACCTCTGACAGTGATTTTTTAAAACTGTGGCAGCTATATGTAGGTTTCAGTCCACAGAATAATGGTATATGACTTAAATCGAGGTTTCTCAACCTCAACACTATTGCTGCTTTGAGCTGGATAGTTTTTTGTTGTGGGAAGCTGTCTCGTGCCAATGTAGGAGGTGTAGCAGTATCCCTGGACTGTATCCACTAGATGCCAATAGCAACCCACCCCCACTTCCCTGTCACCACCGATTTGTGATGATGAAAAATGTCTTCGGACATTCCAGGGGAAGCTGCAGAAATCTCTGCTGATTGAGACTTTCTGATCTAAATGAAAGGAATGAGACACTGAGACTGGGAAAAGCCCATGAAAGAGGGAAAAAGGACTGAGCATGATGTGTGTAGGGGACAAGAAAGCTAGGGAAAATAAGGCTGGAGGAATGGGATATAATGGGAATATGGAGACAATGTGTACACAGGACCAGGAGGTAAGAGTGCTTGCACTGTAGTCATGGTTTTGTCAGAATGTGAAATGTTTAGTTGAATTGGATTTTGGAATGTAAATTCTATTAGGAAAAAGATTCGTACAAAGAAAGATTATAATTATAAAAGTTGATTTCTTAAAGGAAATTACTATTCTCAGCAAGGGTTTAACCAATTCAGTTTTGGACTTTCATTTTTCTGAGTAATGAAATTTAGAAAGAGTGAGGTGTCCTGGTTTGTTGGCGATCAGCGCTGTTGGAGCACATACTGATAGAGGAATCAGTAGAAGCTACTGATAAAAGAGGGGTTATTTTAAAAATAAAAGAAAGGTTCAAAGGGTCTCTAACCCATCCCTTCTACTTGATCTCAGAGAAGACTCATATCCAAACTACAGTAAACTTTTACAGAATTCCGGAACAACTACAGGCTCTTCAAAGATCTCAAACATAGGCACACACATGTACACACACACACACACACACACACACACACACACACTCTTAGACATTTAGATAAAACATAAAATCTCCATAAATATAAAAACAGTATTCTATTAGAAATCTCCTACAGGAGGTGGGGTTATGGCAAACACCCAAAAGAATGAGATGGACAGCAGAGAACAGCTGGAGCATGGCTCCTGAGCCCTGGGCCTGGAAGACCTTTACAGCAAAAAAAAAAGAAAAAAGAAAAAAAAAGAAGATGGTTTTCACTTTAATCTTGTGAGAGTAAGACTAAGCTGTTTTAGTCCGTTTTGTGTTGCTGTACCAGAATACCACAGACTGGGTAATTGATAAAGAAGAAATTTATTTCTTGGCCAGGTATGGTGACTCACTCTGTAATCCCAGAGCTTTGAGAGGCCAAGGCAGAAGGATCACTTGAGCGCAGGAGTTCGAGACTAGCCTGGGCAACAAAGCAAGACCCTTTCTCTATAAAAATAAAAATAAAAAATAAATTTCTTTTAAAAAGAAACATTTCTCACAGTTCTGGAGATTGGATGGCCAAGATCATGGTACCAGCATTTGATCTGGCGAGGGCCTTCTTGCTGCATCCTTATAAGGCTGAAGGAGGAAGGGCAACAGAGGACAAACATTTGTGTCCTCATGTAGAAGAGTGAAAGGGAGTAAACCACTCCCAAATCCTTTTTCAAGTGGCCTTAATCCATTCATGATGGTAAAGCCCTCACGACCTAAACACCTCCCATCAGACCTCACCTCCCAACACTGTTATATTGAGGATTAAGTGTCTAACACATATGTTTTAGGGAACACATTCAGACCACAGCAAAATCACAGGCAATATGTTCCCTAAGGGACTGTAGAGAAAACTCCCAGAAGAGAAAACAAGAACATCCATTATCACTTTGTAGTGATACAGCTGAAAGCCCTATAGCAAGTACTTAGATAAATTAAACTTTCAATCAACTCAGATTAAGGCCTTTTCAGAATGGCATTTTATAGATTCTCTTGGCCTGACCTCCTTTAGAAAAGCCTGAGGTAGGACAAAGTAATTAGATTAATACAGTGGGGCACTTATTGGTTTCACATCATACTGTTCCAATATTATTAGCTCTTTACCCACTAAGGTTAAACACCAAAGATTAAATAAGTAATCTCAATTACTTATTAAATGAAGAATATGATTGAATTGAGGAATTGCTTTCTTCTGATATTTTTAACTTGAGACTAAAAGTGTCACAATCAAAAGAAATTATACATAAATTAATTCAATATTTAGTAAATAAAAGTAAAAAGTAATTATCTTCAAAATTACCAAAATTCAATGCTGTCTCAAGTCAGGAGACTTTCTTGAAGTCAGGAATGAAGGACTTCCCCCAGTGTACTATTTTCCCATGAGAAATGAAAGTGTCCCACTTGTTACTATACGAAGGGATGGAAAAGTGGGCTGTACAGAGGAACAATAATGGACCCAAACCACACTGAGTGAAGACACCTGTTCTATCTTCAGTGCTGGGGAAGATTTGCACAATAATGGAGAAGAGGGACAAGAGATGGCTCCCTGCCATTTTCAAAAGCTACGTCTGTGTAACCAGTGGGCCCACCTCCTAGATTCTTGAGTAAAAAATGATTTTATTTAAGTTTATTCTTTTTCTACTCATTTCTTATCAAAGGGAGCAGTGAAAATATTAACAAGTAGACTTCAGGAGATAGGGAGAAAAATTAAGGCAATGTCCCTAATTGATCACCTCCTAAGTAATTTTAAAATTTATGTTAAAGTGCCTACTTTCCATTCAGTTAAGAGCCAGGAGACCTAGAGTCTAATTGGACTCTTTTACTCAATAGCACGGTCAAAATAACAACAAATCATAACAAATGCTTGAGTTCTTGTTATATGTCAGGCTCTGTACTATACACTTTACATGAACTGGTCTTTCATTTAATGCGCAGCAACGCTCATATATTTTTACACCCATTGAATAGATGAGAAAGTGAGACTTAAACTTGCTTCAGGTTGCACAGCAGAACCCTGGACCTCAGTTTTCTTACTGAAAAGAGAGGGCATGCGTATATATTTTTTTCTCGTTCAAAAACATGGAACTGCTTATGCCAGGCACTCTGCTGAGCTCTGGAGTTATGATTGAAGACACCGTGGCCCTGTCTGCAGCACGCCCCCTAGTGGGTTGGAGTGTCTCCATGGCCCTCCCAGCCCTGTGATCTGCATTTCTGCCCCTGCTTTCTCAGTGGTTGAATGGAATGTATGCTTACGTTGGGGATCTTCTCTCACATGTCCATGTTTGCCTGCAGGTGGTGGGCAGGGGAGTGGGAAGCATGCTCCGCGACATGCGGGCCCCACGGGGAGAAGAAGCGAACCGTGCTGTGCATCCAGACCATGGGCTCTGACGAGCAGGCTCTCCCGCCCACAGACTGCCAGCACCTGCTGAAGCCCAAGACCCTCCTTTCCTGTAACAGAGACATCCTGTGCCCCTCGGACTGGACAGTGGGCAACTGGAGTGAGGTGAGCTCAGGGCTCAGAGGGGAAACTGGCATTATTCAAGCTTCATCAGCCTCTGCCTTCCTTCTCATTATCCAATCCAAAGTGACCCTAGGTAAAATTGCAAAATATCCCTGGCCTGCTCATTTTCCATTCATATGGGATCTTGCTCTCACTTGCTCAATGGTCAGCTTACTACCTGACAGGGGTGAGGTAGATTCCGCCCCACCCCACCCCCAATACAGGATCACAATGACTAATTAATAAATCAGAAGCTTGGCTGGGCCTGTTGTTAAACCATTGGTAGCAGATCAGGGACCTCCCACGCACCCCAAAAGTGATTTATAAAACGTTGACCAGCACATCACTATAGTTAACCCAAACCAAAAGAGTGTCACTTGACACTAAGAAAAATACCCTCGAATTATCCATCTGTTCACCATGTGTCAAGGCCAAACCAGACCAAGGTTTATAACATCTATTATCAGACACATAAGTTCAGATGAATGTTGCATTTTCCCCAAATTAATTTGATCTAATTATCTGACTATAATTGGAAATCAGTAAGCTGGAAGGTTATGAAAAGCTCTCCCAGGCTTTAATTTTCTTTGGGTCACTTTGGCATCTGGTTTTGTCAGGCCTTGTCATGTTCCCAGTTATTAGTGGAAGGCCCCAAAGCCTCCAAGGGCCTCAGCTCTGCTTCCCTATATGCAGTTCAGTGAATAACCTAAGGAATAACTAGAAAATACATGTTTTTAAAAAATTAACAGGCCAGTGTTTAGAGATGGATGCTGACTTTATCTTATGAGCTTCCTTGAGTAGCCATATGCTTCCATAATAATGCTACCACTGGCCAGGCACCTGTAATCCCAGCACTTTTGGAGGCCGAGGCAGGAGGATCATTTGAGCTTAGGAGTTTGAGACCAGCCTAAGCAACATGATGAAACTCCATCTCTATTGAAAATACAATTAGCCTGGCATGGTGGCATGCCTGTAGTCCCAGCTACTTGGAGGGGCTGAGGCAGGAGGATCACTTGAGCCTGGGAGATCGAGACTGTAGTGAGCTGATATCATGACACTGTACTTCAGCCTGGGTAAGAAAGTGAGACTCTGTCTCAAAATAATAATAACAATAATGCTACCATTGCTCAGGATATTTTAGGAACTCCTATGAGGACTCGGGAGAAAATGGAGAATATCTGATTCAGGAGAATGCCGCAGAAAGTCGATTAGAATGGGGCCTGATGGATAAATGAATAATGTGATCAAAATTTTTGTGTTTAAAAAACATTTGATTATAAATATGTGACAGATTGCTTTGCACCTGCTCTGAAAGAAGAATTCTAAAATGTGTATAAGCAAAGGTACCATCTCTGAAGATACCTATTTGAAAGCAAAACATTCATTTAAATACAGCAGCTTTGATGAAACCTTATTTCCAAGACTCCCTTTTATTAGCTTATGTCACAGTTTAGGTTTATTTACCTTCTGAATCTGTACAGGATGTTCTCTTGGGCATCTAGGTGAAATTAAAAAAAAAAAAAAAGAAAAGAAACAGAAAGTATGGTCCCTAGATGGTAAGAACTTCCATCCAGTGGGAGAGATAGGATCCAGAAAAGAAAAAGAAAAAAGGAAAGAAAGGAAAGGAAGGACAAAGGTATGCATGTAAAGAAATATACCTACATACAAATACGGGTGTATTACTGATTCACTCACCAATGTATGTACACACATCAGTGATAAACCAAACGTTCTTTTTGCTATTCCTGGGGGAGTATAATCACAGCATTTGGCTGTCCTGCCTTATTAGTCCACCACAACCTAGGTTTCTGTAAATTCCAGTGTTGTCAAAATAAGGCTGAATAGAGTATTGTGACTGGCCTATTAAATCTGTTTACCAAAAATGTGTTGGCTGCATCCAAAACTGTTAATAATTCTTGTCATGTAGAATTTACTAATTGCCAACATCTTAATGCTTTTTCAGAGGACTGCAATTACAGATCTGGCTGAGGAGTTTTTATTGTGTTCATGTTTATGGGAAGCGTAGTAACCTGTCTTAACTGGAGAACAAGAGACCAAAAAGTTGGCATGATGTAAGAAGCACTCGGGTCTGTGGTTCCATATGCAGCCATTGCATAGTCAACGGACCACACACGGACAGTTTCTAGCTTCCACTTGACAGAGCTGAGCAGAAAGGCTGGGCCAATGTCGTCATTTAGAAGATGTCATTGGAGTGCTTTTAGTTAAATCAGTACCAAAATATTCATCAAACGGGTCTTCCTTTCTTTTCTCTGCTGTCTTACTAATAACCTTCTAATGAACTTTGCTGGAGTATGATGAAATGTCTTTGACATTCTAACTATGCCCAGATACTTTTTTTAAAGAGAGATGACGTAGCGATTCTTGGCATGCAGTATTTATTGTCTAGTTTTTGTCTGGAGACCAACATTATTTGAAGCAGGATAGTGCTTCAGCCATCATTTGGTCTGTACTGTGTCATTTGGGTCACCGTGGATGGTCTAAAACTGTAAGGTTACTGATCCAAAAGGCCCAAGAACTGACAGCCTTCTAGACTGCTATAAAATGGGCTTCTCTGGGCTAACCTAAGAGGGAAGAAAGAGAAAGTACATTCATGAGCTCCCTTCCCTATCAAAGCCCTCCACCAACTCAAGCAGTAAGGGAAGAGTGGGCCCAGCTGTGCCAGGTCGGTATACTCCTCCCTGTTGCAGCAGGAATCAGAAAGGGGAGTTCTCTCCCCTGCTGCCCCAGGCAGGCTTTCCTGCCCACTGTGACCAGCCCCTTTTCTCTAAGCTTATGTTCTAGATACCTGACTCCCACCTCCAATCTCAGGTTTTACCAAGAATCGTATCCTGGTTTTGCTCACCCTACTTTGTGGACTTAGAGGGTAAAGAAGGGAACTCTATTTATTGTAAATAGAGATGAGGTATCAAAGTTATTGTGGCTCCCTTGCTTCCCAGATATACCATTTCAGGGGCATGCCTTGTGAGAGGCAGCCAGTCTAGTAGTGAAGGGCACAGTCCCTAGAGCATGGCTTCCTGGGTTCAAATGTGTGTGTGTGTGGCAAACAGGACACTCCAGAAGCCAGGATGTGTGTGTTTGTTTATATAGTTTTCCTTTCCAAAGGCATTTCAGGCAGTTTATAGTAAAAGGGCTCTGGACATTGAAGTGGTGAACTGGAAGTTGTAGCCATGCCTGGGAGCAGAGAGCAACATGCTAAACATGAGAATAATTGGGTTATTTTGATAAAGCTTTCAGTTTAACCCAGTGCATCCAGACAACCAGGGCAACAAGGGCAGCCCAGTGGGTTCCATAATTCTTTCTATCTGATAGATGGAAGGGTACCTCTTCTTCAAGAGACACCCCTGGTACTCCCAATGAGAGCTTTAAAATAACTTGCCAAAATTACATGAGATTTTTAATAATGACTCCAAGGATATAACTAGAGAATGATTCAGTCAGATACTTTGTAAAAAGCTGTGCCATCTTTTTCCTTGGATGGATGGATGGATGGATGGATGGATGGATGGATGGATGGATGGATGGATGCATGGATAACCACCATGTACCTAATAAATGTTTGATTAGTGCATCCTTGGCAGAAAGGGAAGTGGGAAGAGTCCTGGCTGAGATCACAGAGAACCATCTTAGTTCTGGTCTTGTATTGCATAAACTTGTATTGCATGTTATACAGTCTTAGGAAAATGATTTTTCCTTATAGGACCTCAGTTTCCTCAACTATAAACCAACATGTTATTTCTCCTAGTAATTAGACTAATAGTAATGATGGGTGATAATTTTTCTAGATTTTCCAGCCCTGGCAATCTCTAATTGTGTGGCCTTGAGCCAGTGTTAATTCTCTCTTAGCCTGTTGTCATTGAGAAACATAGGATTATTGTAAGAATTGAAGAAGATAATTCATGCAAACACTTAGCATAGTGCCTGGTAAATAGTAAGTGTTCACTAAATTATTATCAGACAAGAAGACAAAAGTCTATTTTCCATGCTAATCTGATTTTGCAAACCTTGCTCAATCAGTTGTACCCAAAGGTGCTGAAGGAACTGATCTGTGGCCCCGTAAGTTTTCACCTATCCCCTCCCTGAGCTCAAGGAGCTCATTCATTTTATTCATGAAACACTGTAAGTGCAGTGCTTCTGGCCTACAGATTTTTCAAGGGCCTGTACAACTATTTGAGACCTGAAAAAAAAAAAACCTCATGCATTGCTTCTATAAAAACAAAAGGACCCTGCAAAATCAGAAATCAATATTTAATTATATATTAATAGCAAATACACACCAAGCATTTTGTATGCATTGTTACTATGTATTATGTATGTATCTATTAAGTACTTTTATGGTTATTAGCACATTTAATCTTCACCATGACTTATTGAGCCCCATTTTATTAATACAAGGGAAGAAACTGAGGCATAGAAACATTTAGAACTTTGTCCAAAGTCACCTGTTGCCAGGATTTGAATGCAGGCAGCACAGTGTCTACTCTGAATGTATACTTTGCCATACTGCATCTCAGATATCTGCAAAATGTAGCAATATGACAGTTTTTCGTATTCATAAGAAATGTTTTCCGTTTGGAAATGATTTGTAGGCTGGCTTTTCTCATTCTGTTGGAATTTCAGACTGTGCATAACGATTGCTGAGAAATCAGAGCCTCCCCAAAATTAAATGTTACCCTCACTGAATAACTTCAAAAGCGCAGGAAAAAAATAAAGCCTTTCGCAAAAGATTTGAATAGACATTTCTCAAAAGAAGACATACTCGTGGCAAACAGGCATATGAAAAGGTGCTCAACATCATTATCATCAGAGAAATGCATATCAAAACTATAATGAGATACCATTTTTACCCCAGTTAAAATGGCTTACATCCGAAAGACAACAAAAACAAATGCTGGTGAGGATGTGGAGAAAAGGCACCCTCGTACACTGTTGGTAGGAATGTAAATAGTTTAACCACTGTGGAGAACAGTTTGGAGGTTCCTCAA